TGGGTGTCAAGTAATGAAGTACAAATACTTCTTTACTGTACTTAACCCCCTGAAGCCTGAATGGATATACATGTAAATTTATAAAGACATTTCGTGTGTTTTTCCCCTTCAATGAGATGCCAAATTAAAATAGTTGATGTTACAAATAAATAGAAAGGACGGTAAAATATATAATGTAACAGCAGTTTTAACTTCATAATAACATACACTGTGACTAGCACAAAATAAAAAAAAAAATTCTGAAAATGAGTAAAAATGTCTTAAAATAAGTGTATTTAACCTTAATATGACTAGGAAAATAAGATGATCTGCCAATGAAACGAGCATTTTTATCCTTGAAATAAGATAATTAGATATTATGCACGAAATAAGAGACTGCAGTTCTTGTTTGTTTTAAATGTAAATCATCTTGTTTATTGGCATGTTTTGCTTACCTGCTTAATTCAAGAAAAAAATGCTCTTATTTTAAGAAAGATTGACTTACTTAGATTTACATTTTTTGCAGTGTGATACAAGTGGTTTGTTGCTTATTAGCAACAACAGGCATCAATGGGTTAAGTTCACTTTTTAGGTATCTATACTTTACTCCATTATTGATTTTTCTTCCTACTTCTGACTTCTACTCATTAAATTTTCAAACAAGTATCTGTACTTTCTATTCCTTACATTTTTAAAACAAATGTTACTGGTTACTCCTGGCTTTGGTTTTATGTTTATAAATATTTATTTCACGTCATGTGCGCCATCCAATGCAGATCATTGGTGCCATCCACATCTAGGGAAACCTAGCGTGATTGGATGAGTCATATAAAACACGCTAAAGGAAATCATCAGAAGCAAGCAGGTGTTCTTCACACTGCAAACATGAATTGTCTAATGCCATGCTACAATGTCGGATTCGGAAAAAGATGTTGAAATGTCTGAAAGGTCGGACACAGGCGAGATTGTATTGGGAGATACTATTGTTCTAAATATGCAATAACTCGAGTCCTCTACTCATCATCTCCGTTAACCATTTATGCTCATATTTTAAAGATGCATCTGAGCCTCCTCTTTTGGAAATTGGACTGATTGCTGAAGTTTGGATTAGCTGCTAAAAGTTTAAGATCAGAGCTCTTAAAAGTCCAAATCTGCACATAGATCTTTAAAGGCTCTTCTTCACATGAGAGGTGAAACCTTTCAAGAAACAAAAGACTTAAACACATAGGACTGTCTTTCACGTGTTTTTTGGGGGCGCTGCAACTAACTGCCTATTTTGCAAATCGATGAATCTGTCGATTATTTTTTTTATTAATAATCAATACCCAAAGGTTCCTTAAAGAAGATCTTTTACGAAATTAAACCACAAGTATGGTATAATTATGGCTCTACTTGGGTTGCTCTGTCAGCTTAAGATCTTTTTTACAGTCTCTATACTGCGGTTAGCGGTTAATTGATTACTAAATTAGTTGACGACTATTTCAATAATTGAAGTTTCAGTGTGTTTTGAGAGGAACACTTTGGCTGCTGCGAGGATAGTGGTGGCATCAGCATGCTGAGGACCTGTTTTACTTTGCCGAATAATGTGAAAGGATGACCCCCTTCCCTCAATATCTGGACACAGACGGATGTTCTGATCATCACTGACCTGAAACATTAATTAATTAATGGGTTTTTGGATGAATATTGCAGGTTTCAGTAAACATCTGGAAAGGTTTTGACCTTAGCTTTGTAAAAACTAAAGATTATTCTCAAATGGCAGTTTTTTTTGTCAGGAAGAACCAGCCTGTAGGAGCCATAAATGGAAACATACTTTGATGTTAGTTTGTCTGGGTTTACAGCTGTTATGGTTTTGTTTTTATTTGTGTTTTGGTTGGATGTTTGTAGAGGAATGGATCAACTGGATGTGAGCGGAGTTTTGTAATTGGGCGTATTACTCCTCCTTTGGAGTGTCACTGGTAGAGAGTGGGTGAGTGGGCAACTGTATTTTTTGTTGACCGCTATACAAATCGCTGTGATATATATTTGACAAGATACTTTTTTGCTAATAAAGTTCACATCAGCACCATATTGATCTCAGTGGATCCATTTTTCAACGAACGTGTCAGACAAGGAACGTCCCAACATCAGCCTCTCAGCAGCTTTTTTCTTTGCTGCTGCGCTAAAGCCAGTTCAGATGTACTCTTCCAAATCTTAGAGAAAAGCCGTCAGATCAAGGTCCTACTTTTTAACCTCCTATCATTAGTGTGGGTGTTTTTAATATTACAGCCTGTATGTATAATTTAGGTAATGTGTTTAAGAGAATCCATAATAAATTCAAATGTATGCTCTTGATTGCCATTTTTATGAGTCATAAAAATGTAGCTTTGTTATCAGTCAAGCCTGAAAAAGAAGATCATTTCATATAAATCCTTAAAACTTCAAACTTAATGTCAGTCTTGTGATTGATGAGTCTACATACTGTAAACCTTAGGCCATACTCTGGTTTTCTGCCTTTAGTTTTAAATACATGCTAAAGGCTGCTTTTAGACTTGTTCTGAAATGTATGAGTAGTGTTTTCCTAAATAAACTGCATGTGTCTCTGTCAGCAGGGTTTCTGTCAGTCGGGCCATCAAACCATTTGCAGAACCAGGCCGACCTCCAGACTGGTTCTCTCAGAAGGTATCCTGACTTCTTTCTTGCTGCATACATCTACACTGCAGTTATGACTCATCGTATTTAAAAAAAAAAAAAATCTTTACTGCATCTTCACAGCATTGTGCCTCCAAGTACTCTGAGCTGCTGGAAACAACAGAAGCTCCAAAGTGAGGAAACAAAAAAAGAGAGTTCCTTCCTGTTATATATTTGCAAATTATGCACAAAGCACCATAAAAACTTGCCTGTGTTTACCCGTAGGCGGAAGCGTGGTGAGAAAGGTGAAGTGGTGGAAACGGTGGAGGACTTGATTGTCCGCCGGCTGACTGGAGAGAGGATTGAGGAACTGAAGAAGCTGATCAAAGAAACACAGGAAACACACAGGTTGTCTTTTCAGCTCTGTTTAAATATCAGCAGATTGAAGGTCAAGAGGTTAATGTGCTGCTGCTTTAACAGAAAGCTGAAAAGAGAGGCTGAGCTGATTCAAGCGGGACATCTGGATTCTAAGTTGGAGGAGTTATGGGAAGACATTCAGCTGTAAGGAGAAATAAACAAAAATATGATCTTTACATAGCTGTATAAATAAAGAAAATGTGTTTAATATTTATAATTTTGTGTCTGTCAGGAAGAAGAAAAGGGAGGAAGAGGAAGCAGAGTTAAAAAGAAAAAACACAGACGCTGCTTATCAGGGTAAAGTAATTTTCAATTAATATTTTATTTAGTCCTTTGGATCTATTCATTTATATTTATGCATCTAGCAAGCAATTTTTATCCAAAGCGACTTACAAAGTAGGCGTTAGCATGAAGAGTCTTGCCTTAGGACCCACACTGGCAGCTCACTTCGTTTGAGATATAAGAATGTCTGACACAAGTCAGTACAATTTCTTTGGACTATTTTCTATTACTTATTTCACAACCTTATAGATATGAAAGAAGATTTTTCTCAGAAATTAAGTGTCCAGATTTATCTAAAATAACTTAATTGATGGATGGTGTTCTTGCACATGGACCCCTCCCTCCCAAAAAAAATTTAATCCATAACTGCTGGTCGTGGTGGGGCCTACAAAATATTAGCCAATCCACTTTTCCTGCTGTTGAAAGTGGATTGGTTAATTGTTTGTCAATCAAACATTTTGCATACGTGCCCCCATTAGGAAATTCTTTTCAGAAATGGCGTGCCCTGAAGGAGCAAAAAGGTCTGAAAACAGATATTTTGATTGCAAAACATCTGCTGGACAGGTAAATAAGGTTTAATTCTGTAATATATACTGTATTATCAAACATGTACAGTCAAAATACAATATTACCAGCTGAGGCGTTTCCAGCGTACAGAAAGTTTGCGAAGGAGGGGGTAATGACACATGCACACCATTCAAAAATACACAGCCGTTGGACATATCTTCCACCACATTATTATCTTTCCTCATAAGATTTACTTCAAAAATATATATTGTTAGTATTTGCACACAAATGCTGCAATATCAAACACCCCAGGCCGGGAATCGAACCCAAAACATTCTTGCAGCAGGGCAACAGTGCTACCCACTGCGTCACTGAGCAGCCCCCTAACTGGAATTGTACTTTTCAAATATTGAATAAAAAATGTACAACACTCTGAAACTGAGAGTTTCAACATTCATTACAGAAATATACTCATACATAAGATCAAGAATATTTAACTTACACAAAACAACTTCTGGGCGAGGATCAGAACAGAAACAGCCACTTAAACTTTGAGCAGTAGTATAAAGATTATGTATGCCTCTATTTAAAAGAAAAAAAGCATGTACAAATACAGCATTAATAGTAAAAGTGCATTATGTTGTACTGCATTAGAAAATGTACCGAATAAAAGATGAGGTTGGTATGACGTGTAAACAACAAATACACAGTATTTCATGTACACGTTTTTGACAAATAACATATACCCTATTTGGCAATTTGGACCCATTGCTAATTCTTGGTATTTAATGCCACATGTTC